AATAATGACTATAATTCATGTCTCATTAAAATACCTGTCAAGTAATGACTCACTTCCTCAGAACCATTGGCATCCCTCTGCCCCAGGTCAGCATCTGACCATTCCACCACAATTAAGAGGGCAGGGCTGGGTTCCCCCTGCTGCTGCTGTCCAGGATAGGTAAAGCCAATGGCAGAACCTGGGACACACCCAGCTCAAGCTCCTGGAAGGAGGGAAGGTGACTGCTAGTTAACTCCACTGCCCACTGCCTCTCTAGGAGCAGGGACACAGACCTGGCCAGTCAGGACAAGGCAGGATGACGGGTGGAAGGAGTGGAATGGAGAATCCTGCCCAGAGATTACACTGGCTGCTATTTTTTTTGGAGTCAGGAAAGCAGACCAAACAAATAGGCAGAAGCTTTGAGGTGGAGGCCAGGCTGGTTTGACTTCTATTGATGGAAGTCTCTGATAACTGTTTAATGGCCAATCTGGCATGAACATATCCATAAAACAAAGGTTAATCTGTCTGCACCAGACTTGCCTGTCTATAGGTGTTTCAGTCACGTTTCTAGAGTTAAGTTCAGCTTGTCCAAGTCTTCCTTTTACAGATAATCCCTTTAGTTTGGTATTTAACTCATCCAATGTCACACTGCTAATTGCTATTAGACACTTTTGAGCTCTAGTAACCCCAAATTTGAAAAATAACCCAAAAGCCACAGTACTACAAAACCATGAAAATGGGTGTCAGTACATGGTCTGTGCAGATTATTATGGAATGTTCACACAATGTGGCAACAGGGCCATGGGTCAGACCAGCAGGCTAATTCCATCTCTAGTTTACTACCAATTACTGGAAGAAGCCAAACTGGAGATAGGCATAGGCCTTGAATGAGATGCTTTATTGGCCAAATGAAACATCTGCTGAATAGCCATTCAATTTAGCTTGTTAAACATAAGTAATCAGGTAGCAATATTCTGAATTTGAATAAATCAGAGAACAAATCAGAAGACAGTAGTTCAGGCTCTCAGTCTGCCATTCATGAACCATGTAACCTTAGCACAGATATGAGCTATAATGTCCACTGTATCTACAAACAAGAAAAACAGTCATAATATCTTAAAGGAGTTGTGTGAGACAAAGTAAGAACAGATATGTGACAGCAATGGAGCACTATGCAAAAATTAGGTAGCTATTTTTTGTCTTCAATTTTCTGTAATCTAGAATAGACTCCCTGCCAATTTTTAACAGGTTTATGAAGATGATTAAGATACCATAAAATTCACCCTTTTCAAGTGTTCGATGATTTTTAATGAGCAATGAAGTAACTTCCCCTCATTTTCTTTAAAATGTTTTTTTTAACTTTAGGGTTTTTTTTTTCCATAATATTGGTACATATTTATGGAACACAGTAATACTTTGATACATGTATATAACATACAATGATCAAATCAGGGTAATCAGCATTTCCTCAAACATGAATCATTTCTAGGTACTGCTTCCCCCATTTTCCTCTTGTCCGCCTGGTATACGTCAATTTACTCTTCAAAACAGAACTTAAAAATGAACTCCTTTGGGCCTCATCCTTATTTCAGGACTTCCCTTTATATATATTTTTATTCCTGCTCTTCTCCTCATTAACTAAGAACAAGAAAGGGACAACAAATAACATTAAAACACAGCATTTTAAAGTATATGGACTACTTTCCAAATGGGTAATTCTTTCTTTTTTTTTTTTTTGCATCCTATATTGTACCCAGAGCCCCTAAAGGAAATTAGAGTTCCTTAAAGGAAGAGACAGTAACAAGATGAAGAATAAAATTTTAAAGCATCTCTCAAATCCTCTCAACAATACAAGTGCATCAGAGAGTTTTTACTTCTTCTTCTGATTCTTTTTTTTTTTTTAATTGCCAAAGCAAATGTTCCAAGAAAGCTCAAGACAAAGGAAAAGCTGCCTATCCAGTTGATCACTTCGATCACCAGAAACCAATTGCAAATTCAATTCTGATGGCCAAGAACTTTAGAGAGAAGGTATCCTAGCTGCAGAGTAGGATGCAAACATCGTGGATCATGTAATGTAGCACACTGACTGGGGCACAATTCCGATAGCTAACAGTTTAATCTTGTTGGAGAACTGATGCCCTTCACTGAGCTGTGGGTGACAAGGTGGAAAGGAGCACCTGAGATCTGAGATCAGATCAGAGATGGCCTAATCCAGGCTTCCCAGTAAGTAATATGCTGTGCGTAAAACACTGCATCCCTTTCACAAGTGAAGGCTGAGGAAGGGTTACCCAGGAGAGAGAGATCATACTGTCTTCATGATCAGAGGGATTCTTTGTTCTGAGTCATAGAACAAACATGGAGAAATACAAAGACCCATTCAGCAAATCCTTTTCTCTCTACCCACTTGCTAAAATTTCTTTAAAAAAAAAAAAAAATCTCTTTTTTCCCCTTGAAGACTTAGGCTAATGAGACTTCTAATCACCCCAATAGTCAAAGACTAGGGGAGACTGCGCAAGATTACCCACATTCACTTCAATTTCAAATGGTTGTTCCATCCCACTCCAGGTCTAAAGAGGAACCCATTTCATCTCTCTTCAGGAAAGGTCACTTCAATGCTTAATTTCTCTCAGCCCTCACTTGAGTTTAAAGACCCTCAAGGAAAAAGCTTATTAAAAATTACACTCAGGGGCTGAGGTTGTGGCTCAGTGGCAGAGTGCTTGCCTTGCATATGTGAGGCATTTGGTTCGATCCTCAGCACCACATAAAAATAAATAAACGAAATAAAGATATCGTGTCCATCTATAACTAAAAAAATTACACTCAGGAGAGTGTAATTTTTTCAAAACCGCTTGCATTATTTGGGTAACCACAATGTTTTAAAATCATTTGGTCTAGTAATGTTATTTCATCATTTATAAATAGTAAAAATTAAGAAAAGCAAAAATCTCCTTGAAATGTATTCCAAACCTTACAAAGAATAATTAGTGTAATTCCAAGAGAAGCTGATTAGTGCTCAGATGGAAACCTGAAGAGTAATTATCATTGGTATGATTTCTAAAAGCAGATACCCCCTCCCCAATCTGTCTAGCTTCCCCCATCTGTCAGGTGCAGTGAAAATTTCTAGACTGGAGGGAGTTAAATTTAAAAATAGCAATAGGAATGTTTTTTGTTAAGATCTGCAGACCTTGAAAAGGCTTCCAGGAATTTTGCAAGAGATTCACAATCTTTGATCTATTCCAATTGCCCTAGAGGGGAGGCACCCATCAGGGCCATTAGCCTTGAGGTAAAAGGACTGCAGACCTGGGTGTATGCCTGTAATCCCAGTGGCTCTGGAGGCTGAAGCAGGAGGATCCCAAGTTTGAAGCCAACCTTAGCAATTTAGTGAGGCCCTAAGCAACTTAGTGAGACCCTGTTTCAAAATAAAAAATAAAAAGATTTGGGGATGTGGCTCAGTGGTGAAGCACCCTGGGCTCAATCCCTAGTACCAAGATAACCAAAACCCACCCACCAACCAACCAACCAACCAAACAAACAAAAAAAAAACAAACAAAAAAAACAAACAAAAGGAATGCAGAGATAAATTAAAGCTACTTAATAATGTGAAGCCCGCTGATTAGGTCCTGATCTATGGAAACTGAGTAGCTATATTTTCTCCAGGGCTATTGAGAAACTGCTGTTTCTTGAGCTTTTACAGGGTTTAGGCATAGTGATGAGATCTCTCCAAATATTTTGGTATTTAATAATTCCAATAACTCTATAAAGTATTATTTATCTTTAGAAGATTTTAGGGCCTGAGAGTAAAATGCCTAAAGCCACAGAGCTGGTGGCTGATTCAACTCCTGAACCTCAACCCTATCCCAAACTGTTCCTCCGAAATCTGTTTTCACTTTGGATTCATCCTGATACCCTGATATTAGATGTGGGCTCTTCCACAAGCCCACAGAGCTGGGGATTGCACACTTACACACACACACTTCTGGAGGAAGCAGCTCCTTTTCAGGCTCTTGGGCCCTTACTGGATCAGCATCACCTATACCCTTCTGAGCACTACACAGAAGTTTAAAGAATAGATTTTTCACAGAACCCCTTAATCTGCTCTTCCCACAGATTCACCACTCCCTTAGCTAATGACCCACCTATTTGAGGGGAGTCAGTGGGCACAGAATTCCCAGAGGGCCACTCTTTCATCCTGATCTGATTTCATTAACACCCGAGTCCTTAGGTATCACCCCCATTCCCCATGGTTTTAAAAGAGAAAACTGTAGACACACAAAGAGCAGTGAGGGGCCAATGCCCAAGGCTACTAAACCAAGTAGAAGGCGACCCAGGGAGTCAGGACACAGTTCAGGACCATTCTGTCACTAGCTAATTGTGACAAGGGGAAATTCAACTACCCACTTCTGGGCCTCAGTTTCCTGAAATGTTAAAGAGGAGGGGATAAGTAGCAAGCTGCACCCCTTAGAAGATCAAGCTGACTACATTACATAAAGTACTCAAGTTTGTTTCAATTTGGTGCTTCATGAATTTCCATTCTTCACCTCCCCTTACACTTCCATTCTCAGGAGAGAAAAGGAAATAAAGTGGCTGGATCTTCTAAACAAATTTACACAGAGTTCATGTGTATATAGAATTAGAAAAAAAGATCAAGTCCCGATCGATCCCTCTTCACCCACCGTTCCTGTCCCCCCTTCCCTCAGACCCCATCTTAAATGGAGAAACTAGATGACCACAGTTGAAATGATCTCTAAATAGGTCAAACAAGCAAGCCCCCAGCTGCCACCCTCCTCCAGACCACAGGGAAGAGTGTGGCTGGAGCCAGGAGACGTGGAGGAGCCTCCGGGGACTGCACCCACAGACCAAGTTCCCTAGGCCCTGCCGGTCCGCGCCCCCTAGTCTCCCACGTCCTGGGTCCCCCGCCTCGGGGGAGCGTCCGCCAAACCCGCGGCTCTGCCTGCTATCTCCCGGACTCGCGGCCGGGCCACGTCCCCTACAGTGTGCCGGGGTCGCCGGCCGCCGCTCACCTGCGCAGGACAGAGCAGCAGCAGGAAGAAGCACAGGGCTGGACCGCGCGCGCCCATGCTGCGGCCACGCGGGGCTGCGCACATCTGCTAGGGTCCGGATCGCTCCGCAGAGCGATCACTTCCCGGGGCTGTTTCAGGACCAGCGCCTGACAAGGGAGGGAGCAGGCGCGGGTGGCTGCAGGCAGCGCGCGCAGGTCAGGAAGGAAAGAGGCGTCGTCGGCTCCTCCCTTTCTGGGAGGTGCTGCTACCGCCCCAGCGCGCTCAGGGGCGGGGCCTAGAGGGGCGTGACTTGGGGTCCGGGGCGGGGTCGGGCTCTGACAGTGCCACGACAGCCGGAGATCTCTCCTAGGTCCGGTACAGTCTTTCTCATCCTGCGGCCTCTGCGTGCGCAACGTTGGGTTGGGGACTCCCGGACCTGGGCAGCTGAGCTTTTGGAATCCAGTCTGGGAGGATATTTCTAGAATCGTGTCAACAGTATCTGGCTTTGATGCTTTGTTTCCTTTTTGTCACCCTTATTTTCCACCTGAGTTGGAGAGGGTGGCGAGGTTTTAGCAAAAGAGAATACTTGGAGACAATTTTCCCAATGAAGACCCCATTCCTCAGTGCAGTATATATTTATCTCGGCCCCCAAAACTGAGCAATTCTTCTCCCGAACCCAGTTACCCAAAAGGAATTCGTGCCTGGGAACCATCTAGCAAAACTCGGGCGGTGACGCGGTGGCCTGATGGTGTTGTGATCCTAGAGCGCAGGGGGCGGAGCGCGGAGCTGGGTGGTGCGCCTCAGCCAATCTACTTGTTTATGGTGCACGCAGACCACGTTCGGGAAAGCGCTGGAACCGCACCACCTGCTGGCGGAGCCTCGCCTCGCAGTAAACCAATGGGAGAGAGAAAATGCAGAGAATGATTCTGAGGGGAAGACCAAGAGTGTATTCTAAGTTTTAGATGAAGTCAAGCAACACACACACACACACACACACACACACACACACACACACACACACACACACATACACACACAATCACCTTCGTTTTTGAGCCATGCCCTCATTATATATTTTTTTGCTCAGCACTTATTTTTATTGCATGATTTTCTCTGTTATCATTTTCTCTCAAACTTCAATTATTCAGATCACTAAAATGCATCAGTCATTACCATTTTGAAGTTAAAATGGAAGTAAGGATCTCTTTCCCAATAGTGGAAGTCCATTTACAGTGAAAAAATTATCATGTGTAGCAATGACCAAACTCTATGTAGGTAGCATGATAAAGGTGACCTTCCCATCCTTACCCTACAAAGCACTATTTCAATTACCATCTTTCCTCCCTTCCTCCTTAGTCCTGAGATGTCCACCTGGCTGGCCTGGCAGTGAAACTGTAGATTTCCTCTGGACCTTTAGCCCTAGATCTTCCATGAGGACCTCCTGGCTCTCATCCAGCTCAATGCTCTCCCACTCCCCAGATACTGGCTTCTGGTGGGTGACTGATGATAAAATGTAAGTATGCTATAAAATATATAAATACTTATAAATATGATGATAAATATGCTTTCATGCAAGGAGTCTCAAAGGGTGGTCACAAGACCACCACAGCAGCATTATCTGAAAACTTGGTAGAAATGCAAATTCTCAAGTCTTCCTGGGGGGGGGAGGGGCACGCATGTTTTAGCAAACTCTCCCTGTGTTTCCATTGTACAATTAGATTCTCAGCTTCCTGCTGACTATATTCCCTGGATTCTGGTGGGTTAATTACACTTCCACTATTAGTAAACTACTCATGAAAACAAAACAAAATCACCTTTACTAAATAATTGACTTGGGAAAAGGCAATTTCAAGTTCCAGGAGACACATTTCTAGACTGGGCAGGAACTTCGATGCTCCACAAATTATGTCCACCATTCACTAAAACAGTAACAAAAACATCTGATAGACACCCCCTCGCCTCCCCCAGGCCTCAATCTATTATACATCTTCAAACAATGTTCAACAGCCCAGAAAATATTTTAAAATAAAGTATCATATATCTAGGAGAAATAGTTGTGCGGTATTTTTGTTTGGTTGATAAAATAATCTGCACTCATGGTGGAGACTGAAAAACGCACAAAAGTTTAGAGACAACAAAAAATCACTTATAATTCCTTTGATGGATAGTTCATGTTATTGTGGTGTATGAAATTTTTTTGACATAGTTGAGATCCTAAAAGAAACTTGTTTGCTTAACCCATTTTGACTCCTCATTCCAAATATGCAACATCTATAAAAAACTTAAATTGAGCAACAAATATACTGGTAACTAAAATAGTGTTTGAATACCTTTTGTGTTTTCAGAGTTGAAAACTTGTGACTTAATGGGTTAATGAATATTTAGTACCACTACCTTAAGCACCATTCAATGTGGATCTCAGAATAAAGGAAAAAACAAGAAGGAAAATATAATTATTGGACATATGCATTTTTATAAATGTGCAAAAACATCCTTTAGAATAATTCTATGTAGTTAAAAATCTGTATGTGAATATAATATACAGACTTTTAAAACAATGGGAACATATTGAACATGGTTTTCATCTTGTATTTTAGCTACTTTTGTAACTTCTACTTTTAATAGCCGTATATTTTAATACATGTGTACAAAACATCTGAAGTTAAATTTCTATGACTTCTATGGGCCAGTTGCAGAATAGCATTGAAGTGAATAAAATTCAAATCACCAACTAACAAGTATTTCAAAACAACTCATTTTCTGTACTTGGATTTCTGGTACATGTGAAGATTTGTGTGCTCCTAGTAATAACCCATAAATTTACCTTTTCTTTTTCTACACTTTCTCACATTCCTGAGCTTCTCTGGATTCCACAAAACCTTGCATCTGTCTGTGCCTTCCACTTTCTCATGGTACTCCATCACAAAAATCTAAAAACTGTGAACATTTATTTCCCTTTGGGGGGAGAGAGGGAAAAGTTGACCCAAGACAAAATTATGTTTAGCAGGCAGATGGAAGAGGAATATTGAAATATTCATTTTGATCCATTACACAATTCACTTAATAAATCTCCTATTAGACATTGAGTTTGATATTTGCTATAAGAAACAATGATGCAATGAACAGCTTTGTACCTAAGTATTTGCAATAATCTACAAACATAGTGTTGGGAGGTTTTTTTATAGGTATCAAAGGAAATGTAAATTTAAATTTTGATTACTATCAAATTGCTTTCCAAAGAGACTGAAGTTTATACATTTGCCAACAACATATGCAAGTGCCCGATTCCCTACCCGCTTGCCAACACTTTGCTATTCAAATAGGTGAAACATAAAATCTGTGACTTGTAAATCTGTAATTTGTTCTCTTTTTTCTTTTCTTTTCTTTCTTTTTTTTTTTTTTTTTTTGTAGTGAGTGTGGAACCCAGGGTCTTGTGCATGCTAGGCAAGCCTCTATCACTAAGCAATTTCTAAGCCCAATTTTATTTTTTATTTAAAAAAATGTTAGAATGCCTTCGTTTGTATTTAACTGTAAATGAGAATAAGACTCTCTTTTAAAATTGTTGATGGATCTTTATTTTAATCATTTATTCATATGCGGGCTGAGAATGGAACTCAGTGCCTCACACGTGCCAGGCAAGCGCTCTACCACTGAGCCCCAGCCCCAGCCCAAGACTCTTTTCTTATGTATTGTGATTTTCTTTCTTTTTCTGTGCCTTTTACTTTGTATCAGATTATTTTCTTTTTAAATTATTTAAAAATATTTTTATTAAGAATTAGCCTGTTGGTCTATAATATGTGTTGCAGATACACTTACTATTTTATTAGTTTTCAGGGTTATAAAAATTATTCCATGTTTTCCTGTAAACTTTTAATCATTTCATGCAAATAATGATCTACCTGGAGTTATTCACTATAAGGAATCACATAAAGATACAACTCTAGGCTGGGGGTGTAGCTCAGTAGTTGTGTTTAGCATGCTCAAGGCCCTGGGCTCGATCCCTAGCACAGCCAAAAATAAGCAAACAAACAAACAAACAAACAAACAAACAAACAAACAAATAAATAAATAAATAAAAAAAATTAGCTTTCCTCTTTCCCCTAAGACAATGAATATGGATACCTGCTTTTCTTTTCCTTTTCCTTCTCCTCCTCCTCCTCCTCCTCCTCCTCCTCCTCCTCCTCCTCCTCCTCCTTCTTCTCTTCCTCCTGCTTCTTCTCCTCCTCCTCCTCCTCCTCCTCCTCCTCCTCCTCCTTCTTCTTCTTTGCTGGGAATCAACCCAAGAGCCTGTGCATTCTACACAAGTGATTTTCCACCAAGCTAAACTTCTACCCCATACCTGTTTTTTTAAGGTCATCGTTGGTTTTGGGTTGCCAAATCCAATAACAATTATTTTGTTCTCATCTCACTTAACTAGTAGCATTCCACATGGTTGATCACACTCTCCTCTGTGAAACATATTCTTCCTTAAGTCTTTCTTGGGTCGACTCATTGGCTAAATATTGACAATATCTTATCTTCTAGACAAGTTATGATTTGAGAAATATAATCACGTTAATAGAGTTTTATTACAACAAAGCAAATTTGATTTTTTTTCTAAAATAAAGCCTTTTCCCACCTGCAGCTGATTTGGAAACTTCAAAGTATATAGTGATTCAAGTTGGTGAAGAAAAACAAGAATTCCTAACTACTGCACAGATTACATGATTGCCTACTTTTTAACTTGAAGCCTAAATTTCATAATAGGAAATGAAGATAAAGTTGTGTCTTTGTGGGTAACAGGATGCAATAGATCTTACTTGGTGATATCTGAGGCTGCTATTAATAGACCTAGACTCTCTTTACCTTGGTTACTCTTTTCTCACCTTTTCCTCTTGTCTTCTGTAGCAAAATACCATAGATTGTGTGGCTTAATGTATTTTACTGCATAATTGTCACGTAACATAACTGTTTTTTCAGTCCAAAGATTAGTTTATAACTTTTCATCAAGTAATCATCTCATGGTATGATTTTGTTTGTCACATCCTTAAAAGATAAACAGAATCTCTGGTCTAATTCCTAGGTCCTTGATCCACTTTGAGTTGAGTTTTGTGCAGGGTGAGAGATAAGAGTTCAATTTCATTTTACTACATATGGATTTCCAGTTTTCCCAGCACTATTTGTTGAAGAGGCTATCTTTTCTCCAACGGATATCTATGGTGCCTTGGTCTAGTATGAGACAACTTTATTTATGTGCATTTGTCTCTGTGTCTTCTATTCTGTTCTATTGATTTGCATGTCTGCTTTTGTACCAATACCATGCTGTTTTTGTTACCATAGCTCTGTAGTATAATTTAAAGTCTGGTATTGTGATGCCTCCTTCATCACTTTTTTAGCCAAGGATTGCTTTGGCTATTCTGGGCCTCTTATTTTTCCAGATAAACTTCATGGACTATTTTTTCTATTTCTATGAAGAACAACATTGGAATTTTAATAGAAATTGTGTTAAATCTGTATAGCATTTTGGTAGTATGACCATTTTGACAATATTAATTCTGCCTATCCAAGAATATGAGAAATCTTTCCATCTTCTGAGGTCTTCTTTAATTTCTTTCTTTAGTGTTCTGTAGTTTTCATTGGAGAGGTCTTTCACTTCTTTTATGAGATTGATTCCCAAGTATTTTATTTTATTTTTTTGAGGCTATTTTGAATGGGATAGTTTTCCTTATTTCCCTTTCAGCTGATATGTCAATGGTGTGAGACTCTATGATTACTAGAAGACAAAGTAGGCCCAACTCCCCATCTTGTAGGTTTAGGAACCAACTTCCCCAAAAAGACTCCTAATGCCAAGAAGTAACTTTAAGAAACAATGAATTGGATTGTATCACACTAAAAAGCTTCTCCACTGCAAAGCAAAGAATCAAGAATGTAAAGAGAGAGCCTAGGGAGTGGGAGAAAAATCTTTACCACCTGTACCTCAGATAGAGCATTAATCGCCAGGATATATAAATAACTCAAAATACTTAACACTGAAAAAACCCAAAGAACTCAACCAATAAATGGGCAAAGGAATTGAACAGACACTTCATAGAAGAAGAAATACAATTGAACAACAAATATATGAAAAATGTTCAACATCTCTAGCAATTAGAGAAATGCCAATTAAAACTACACTGATATTTCATCTCACTCAGATGAAATGTAATTGTCAGAATGGCAATTATCAAGAACAAGTAACAATAAGTGTTGATGAGGATGTGGGGAGATAAGATACTCTTATACATGGCGGGTGGGACTGCAAATTGGTGCAACCACTATGGAAAGCAGTAGGGGATTCCTTAGAAAACTTGGAATTGAACCACCATTTGACCCAGTTATCCCGCTCCTTGATTTATACCCAAAGGACTTAAAATCAGTATACTACATTGAAGCAGCCACATCAATATTTACAGCTACTAAATTCACAATAGCCAAGCTGTGGAACCAACCTAGGTGCCCTTCAACAGATGAATGGATAAAGAAAATGTGGTATAA